TGTAGGATAACTTTCCATTTAGGGAAATGAGAAGATAATTTTGGGACGTTCCAACAAGGAAAGCAAGAAGTTAATAGCGAGACAGAAGGAGTACTAAATAAAAGTAAAATTGTAACAATAGAAGTTTAAAGTTTAGGTCCCAAAAATATGACTAAATCTTTCCATTGCATCCTTTTCATTGTCATTCTTAATATGAATTTTATCAATTCAAGATTCAAAAGATAGATGAATTATTAATCCGACACTTCAAAGATAAAATATATTGATATATGACCATGACAATAGAAAATTATCAATTTAGGACTTGAGTGATTGAAAATGATCAATCTAGGATCTAAGTTGTCATGAATTTTATTAAATGAATATATTAATTGAACTTGGTGTATAATATGGGTATTGGGCCAAACTTTGAACCTGGGTAACCTGAAGTAGTAGTCCTGAACCCATAAGACGTAAAGCCGGACCAAGAATTTAATTATACGGGGCAAATGACATCAGAAATCTATCTTCTTATCCTATATCTCCTTCTTTCACTGCAAGCACTTACTTCAAACTATGGCTACTCTTGTTGGAGGAACAACCTCTTCTATACTAGCAATTCTTGCTTCTAAATCCATCTCCTCTCACCCCTCCATCATTTTCCTCTCCCATCCTTCCTCAGGCATATTTTATAATGCCCATTTCTTTGGGGTTTCTCCAACTTTATTCCTGTTTTTGTCTGTATTGTTTATATTTTTGTACTGATTGCAGGTTTTAGCGCGGGGAAGAAGTTTTATGGAGGGACAGTACTTCCAGTAAACAAAGGGAGATCTCCATTCCAATTTTCAGTTTCGAATGTTGCCACTGAAGCTACCCCTGCTCAATATCGGGTGTTTTGTCTTCTTTAGTTATTCCTTCGAATCATCTTTTTATTTGGTTTATTATGTTACCAGTATCTTGGCTTCTGGGCTTAAGATGTTTGCTTTAAACTGTGATTAAATTGACACTAATTTTGACAGAGCATTCATTTGGCTATTAGAACTAGCTAGTTTTAGTTGTTGGAGCTGCTAAAAAATCAGGGCATGTTTGGATCCCGGTAAGCGATAGGGAAAGGAAAAACGATTCTAAAAAATGTTACTCCCTACTTAATTATGTGCTAGTATATGTTTGGTTTTAACTGAGAAAATGAGATTAAGAAAAGGTTAATGCTTATTTTTTATTCTTTAAACATATTTAGAATTCTTAGTCTATTTATAATGGAAATACATAAATAATATGAGTTTCATCTCAAGAGGTTGAAAAAAATCTGCTTGCTCAAAATGGTGACTGATTTCTATGCAAATCCTAGTTCTAATGGAGAAGGAGTTGTTAAATATAATAAATTTGGAATTTGGATCTTAAGCTAGTTTAAGGAACATTTATGTGTCAGGGAGAAAAAAGAACATTTCTTGAAAATACTGAGTCAACTCGAGTATAGAAATTTGTATCCTTTTGTAAAATTTTGCATTTTGTGCATGCAATTTATAGGCTCAAAAGCTTGCAGCTAATGATAGCAGGCCGGTGTATCCCTTTTCTGCAATAGTAGGACAAGATGAGATGAAATTATGTCTGTTGCTCAATGTAGTTGATCCAAAGATTGGAGGAGTCATGATCATGGGAGACAGGGGAACTGGGAAGTCCACAACGGTCCGATCCTTGGTAGATTTACTTCCTGAAATCAAAGTGGTTTCAGGCGACCCATTCAATTCGGATCCAGATGATCCAGAGGTGATGAGTGTGGAAATCCGGGAGAAAATATCAACAGGTGAAGAACTACCCGTGGTCCTGACCAAAATCAACATGGTTGACCTTCCATTGGGTGCGACTGAGGATCGGGTGTGTGGGACCATCGACATCGAAAAGGCTCTCACGGAGGGTGTGAAAGCATTCGAGCCGGGCCTTCTGGCAAAAGCCAATAGAGGGATTCTTTATGTTGATGAGGTTAATCTATTGGATGACCATTTGGTGGATGTTCTATTGGACTCTGCTGCCTCTGGATGGAACACGGTCGAAAGAGAGGGAATTTCAATATCACATCCGGCTCGGTTCATTCTCATTGGGTCTGGGAACCCGGAGGAAGGGGAGCTAAGGCCACAGCTTCTCGACCGGTTTGGGATGCACGCACAGGTGGGGACCGTCAGGGACGCTGAGCTGAGAGTGAAGATTGTAGAGGAGCGGGCACGCTTCGATCAAAACCCTACAGAATTTCGGGAGTCTTACAAAGAAGAACAAGAGAAGCTCCGGAACCAGATTGATTCGGCTAGGCGTGCCCTTTCTTCAGTCACACTTGATCACAATCTTCGGGTCAAGATCTCAAAAGTATGTGCTGAGCTGAATGTTGATGGGCTAAGGGGTGATATAGTCACAAACCGGGCTGCAAGGGCATTGGCTGCCCTAAAAGGAAGGGGTGAGGTGACTCCTGAGGATATTGCAACAGTGATACCCAACTGTTTGAGACACCGTCTCCGGAAAGATCCGTTGGAGTCGATTGACTCTGGGCTGCTTGTCGTTGAGAAATTTTATGAGGTTTTTAGTTGAGAAAGGTTTGAAGGGATCAACTCCCATTCAAGTTGCAGTCGTGTTGTTGAATTTAGTTGTCATTGTTGAAGTTGTATTTGATTTAGTGATCTCTATATATGAGGTAAACCAATACTTTCTTCCTTTGATTAATGACATTCTGTTCAATCTTACATGAGATATCAAAGGTGTACCCGCTCTTGTAATCTGAAATTCTGAGAGTAAATGCATTGACCATATTCACCTAGTGATGCACCGATGCAGTTCTCTCATCATTTTTGCCAAAGACAACTAAATGATAGATTTTTTAAAGAGTATTAATGAAGTAAAAGTTATTTACCGAACCAGATACTGAGTAATAATATTGATGAATAAAATAACGAGTTCTAGAAGGACTATTCATTCACTTGATTTTCTGCTATCATTTAATGAATAAAGCAGTTATTTGATTTAAAAAAACGAGTTCTACCAAACAAGTGCAAAGAACACAAGGTAATATCGACCAATTACACACTCCTTGGCTTGCCCAAAGTGGTGCTCTTGATTCGCGTCCAAAATGTAATACAGCCCAAATCTAATCACCCACACGGACAGCCTTCCTGTCATTAGGACTGCCCCTTCTTGTGCGACCAACCTCGCTCCTCAAAACGAGAACAAGGTACCAATGAGCTTTCATTTTCTTTGAGCTGTGGAATGTCAGACGTAGCATACGTGTTTTGGGCAGATTCTTTCCCGGTACATCTCTTTACGTACAATTTATTCATTTGTAGGCATCTCCCTCACTTAAGGCGGTTGTTATTAGACGAGGGAGCTGAAAGGTTCCAATTGTTTTCCAGTGAGAACTCTCCTGGCAGTAAAATGAAAGGTATAAACATGGTAAGATGAGTGAAATGTGTGCTCTTGAAAGCTTTGGCTGCTGGATGAGGGAAAGGCTCCATAAGTTCAATATAAAAATTAAAGTAAAAACCAAAGTAAGAGATTTACCGTGCTTAGGATACAATTGGATGTTTTCGACAACCACCTGTAATGGACGATAGTATAAAAAGCATCCAACAAATCCCAATATACTGTGTAATATTTTTGACTAATAAGGATGTTTTACTTGGAATGCAATTTGTCTCAGACCAGATTAGACCAGACCAGAATAGACCATACCAGATTTGGATAGTTATAAGAATACAAAGAAACCAGACCAGACTAGACCAGTCCAGTCCAGATCAGACCACACCAGCAAATTACAGTCCAAGTAAAAACATCCTAATTTTTACTCACAGAGAAGTTAAGGAAGTGAGCGTAAACTAGAACATATACTTAACGCCTATTCTATATGCAATTTAAATCAGAGAAACTTGATTATATTGCGTTTTACCACGTGTACATGTCTTTTACAGCAATTCATAGAACGTCTTTGTTTTCTACCTTTTTGTCATATTTCCATTAAATTGTTTCTCTTCTTGATCAGAATTTTCTAGATTATTGCTGAACGTTTACTTGAAGAGATGGTACAAGAAAATATAAGACCTAAATATATATATCTAGGAATCTAGGATGTCTTTTCAATAAGAGATTTTAGCCAACACTTATTTAATACGTAGTACAACTTAACTAAGAAGTTTTTTAGTATAGCTGTTCAAAATAGATCATCATCAAATCAAACAAAACTACTAGGTTAAAATAAAGTAGGAAAACAACATTGATTTAAAGATGACACAACTTCCCTAATCTAGAAACTAGAATTACAATTAAATGGTTTTGTCTGTGTCTTCTTCTATCAGTTCTGCATCATCTTCAACAGTTGGTATATTCTCAGCACATAGCACTGGTTTCCTCCATTGTGATTCTGAAGTACTCTTTCTTCAACTGCTTAACAAGTTTCATCTGTTTAAAGAATTGACGGAAACAATCAATTAGTCCATAATATGTGCGTAGTATACTTTACATAACCCATGTCTATCTTTACTGTGCTTAAATTTTGAAATAGGAAGTCAAAGTTTAACTATGATGCACTTCTAATATAGAGTTATTTTAATGAAGAAAATTATGATGAAGTACGATGCTTTTTTTCACTTAATAGTATGCTGAAATAGAGATGATTAAACCTGCATTACATGTTACTAGTATTCCCAATAAGTAAACGTTACTCTGTATTTAATTTTGATAAGCAATAATTACATTGGACAAAGTCGAGGCCAACACGACAAATTAGAGAAAAAGCTTGCAAGTATACTTGTATTCGATCCCCAGTAAATCAGTAATTATGCATTAATCATAAAAGCTATCATGGCGCGTAAGTACTGTGGGTCGTCAAACTTTATAATTTCATCTCTATGAAGTCCTTAATACGGGCTAAATACGGGGTATCTCCTCCGATTGCAAAATAAAATTTTATCCAGTTAGCTTATGAAGTAGGAGCAATAGGAGGCATTGGCGAACTTATCAAGGAAATCTAGAGTATTTTTAAAGTAGGCAATGTTAAATGATCAAATATTTTATATAATGGATCCAATGGATCATTCTAAAAAAATGGATCCAATGGATCTTCACAACTTAAATTCTGTCATAGCGATTTGTTCCTCGCTCATTAACCGAAAGGATATACAGATCTGAGTATTTTAAATTCACAAATAATCCCAATTATCGATTTGGAGCAAATCACAGCAGAAATTTTGTCCTCTCTGAAAGGCCGAAGAATGCCATCTGAAGCCAAGCATGGATAGAAGGCAAACTACATTTGTTTTGTTTCTGGACAATGTTCATCAAGATCCCAGCAACACTATCACTTCAAGGAGTTTATAGAGAACCAGATTTTCGGCAAAAAATCACACATAGGACCTAACTCACAGAGCGTTTTTAAAATTCAAGTCAAGGTTGCTGCTGCTGCTGCTGGGAACCTTGAAATTAGGAAGTTGCTCCAGAAAATCGGGTGGCCTTTGATACACAATGGAAGCAGCCCTGATCAAGATACCAGCTGTTAATCCCCAAATCAGATACTTGTTGTTTTCCCCCATCTCATAATCAAAGTAGTGGATTAAATAGTTGCGCCCCATCCATTCTCTTTCTTCTGATCTTCTGTGCTCATCCTGATGAAGATGAAGACATGCAACCATAAACAAACCCTCTCAAATGGAACCAGGGAAGTATTATGGGAAGAAAATAGAGTTGTAAAATAAGGGATGGGCTAAAACCAAACAAATGATTTTAGACATTTATTGATACATTGATACTCATTTGTTTTTAAGTCTACCATATAAATACTAAGAAATCAAAATTATCATCAAATTTGATTTTCCTTCGAATTCTTACGCTATCAGATCATGTACATGAAAATAACATTCTTTCTGATGCCTTTTTCCGTTTCAGTAGTACTTTCCGGGATGCAAACATAGACTCAAATGAAAGGAATAGAAAGCAAAATATAAAGAAGAATGGGACCTTGAGAAACATTTCTAATGGCACATCAAAAACAGCCTCTACTTCAGCGACATTAGGTGTGGGATTGAATGCTTTCTTATCAGTGAGAATTCCAATAACAGGAATTACTCTAAACAGGTGCTGCATGAAAATATAGTAATCAAAATATTAGAAATGAATAAAGTAATCATCCAAGTGGCTCTATATCTTTAGATTTGAATAGGTGGGGGGTGCATACGGTTACCTTAGACATGAATGGCTCAAGGCATGTGAGGACATTAACAAGTGAGGGATTCAGCCCGATTTCTTCCTCAGCTTCCCTTGTAGCGGTTTCAGCGTCACTTGCATCACCTTCTTCTGCCTTTCCGCCTGGCAATGCAACTTCACCTGACATCACAAGAAAGTTTCATTATTACATAGATCAAAACTGAAGACAATATTTACGGAGTTTACTATTAAATTGGGCCTAAATTATCCCCAAAGGATCCTCAAGAAGTGAAGTTTGTCTCATACTTGTATATAGGACACAGCCGCTATACTAAACATCCACAGTAGCACACTGTAAGTCTGTAACAAGTCATATAACAAGTCCCAAAAAGTTGTGTTTTTCTCCGCGTTTTTTATCCACTTTAATGCATTTTTGACATATTTAGAGCAATTCGATCTTAGATCCCGATGCACCAGATTCCTTCTTACTTTTCATGGAAAGTGGACTTTTTGTTTTATCCTACATATGTACATATTGTGTGTGTGTGTGTGTATTATGAGACCTTGTATGCATGATAGACATGATAGAGGTATTTTGGTTAGAGAACTTATGCCACGTGATCAATGAGACAAAGCTGAACTCCTAATATGAGTGCTAGCTGATGCTATCATGTAGATCAACTATGTTAAAAAATGAGAAGTGCAGGAGTAGAAACTGTGAATCCCTTGACCATCTATGTATTTTTGTTCATTGTGAGAAGGGCTGGATGGAAAACACAGTTGGCAGCTTTTTTATAAACTCACTGCTCATTTGAAGCAGGGTTCCATGGATACTAGTTGTTGAAGTGTACTGGTGCTAAATGAGCACAAAAAGAGCTTGCTCCCCAATCCCCATGGTTAATATTCCTAGGTATATTTGGAATGCAAAAAGCAATTCCGAATGAAATGGCATTCAGATCATTGGGAAACCACTGATTCCCCTATCTGGGGGAAAATGGCTATATAGCCTTAAAAAATAGACCACTTGAAGTTAGTAGCCTCTATTTTATATAATTAAATAGATAGCGTTTTTGTTGTTAATATGAAGCCCGTAAAATTTTAGATACCTTCGGCTTTCATCATTTGTAATTATGGTTATAAATATAAACCCTTTCAAATATACTCCCTCCGATTCAAAAACAAGTTCCACCTTTCCTTTTCGGGCAGTTTCAAAATTAAGTTCCACTTTCAAACCTTTCCTTATTTGGCAAATTATCTATATCAAAACAGTTCCAAACAGTGTCAAACAGTGCCAAGCAGTGCACTCCACAGTAAAGTCAAATTTCTTTTCTTAATATGTGTGAAGTCAAATGTGGAACTTGTTTTTGAATCGGAGGGAGTAATAAATTGTACAATGTTGGTTAACACAGTGGTTGACTCCAATAATTCAAGAGAAACCGGCAAAGGCCGCCACATTCCCGATTGCATCCATAGATCGATATCGCAACTCTGAGATTCATTGTGCTATATCAAATTTCCCAAAAAATAGGATTCGCTAATTAGCCTAATTTCGAACACCTTAAATAGAAGTTTTTATTTGTGATTTAGACGAAAATACTCTCATAGGGCTTTAGCAATACTTTCCCAAGGTCATCGGACTGTCGAGCTGCTGCATGCCGCCGGAAGGCTGCCTGCTGTCGAGCTGCCAGAAAATTCTCCGCTGAACTACCAGAAAATATAATGCCGCTGCCACCGGAGTGTGTGCTGCGACCCTAGACCGATCCCCACCGCCCAACGGACTGCTTTGATTATGCAAGGGAACTAAGGGGACTAATTAGGTTGATTAATTAATTAAATTAAGGATGGAATTAAATGATTAGTCCTATTTAAGAAGAAGGCTGTTTTAGTTTTAGTTTGGACAATTTTCTCTCCTAAATTATAGAAATTCGTGTTTAGCTGCTCTACTTCCATTGATTTGATTTGGGAGAAGTAGGAGGAGAACTATGGCATAATTTTTAAAACATTTGATATAATTATATTATTATTTGACATGATGGTTGCCATTTGCCAATGTTGATTGAGCAAAAAAGTGCAGATATATCAAGTGAAAGAATTTTGGAGTACTGGATTATATGAATGTGAGATGAACGAAATGTTTAACTCTTAGATGGAAGAAACCCAGAAATTGGAAGTTGGGAATTTCTCCACAGAGACGTGAACCCTTTATTATGAAACTGCTGTAAAATTAACGGTTGAAGAAGGAAACTGCTATAGAATTTTTAAAAAGGCTATCTAGCTTATTTTTGCAAATCCATAATATTAACTTAAATGCACATATTTAATTGTGTTTATATACTCAATTTTCTCCCCCTATCTGTTCACATGGCTGATATTAAATGGACTAAACCACAGCTAAAAATAATTAAACACTGACATTTTAAAAATAATTAAGGCATTGAAAATGCACTAATGTAATTACTTTAAACCGTTTATTTGAAAGTATCACCACTTTAAAGCAAAAATTCCTTAGTGAAAAAATTGACATCTCCACCAAAACTAAACTCTCAAACAAGTTCGGAGGAATTAAAATCTTTTGGTGATTCTAAGGACTTGAGTACAGATAATTCCGGAAATAAACTGCTGGCACTATGTAGTTATGTTGAACACTAATCGGTAAAAGATCAAGCCGCACTATCCATCACTCTATTTTTTTTTTCAAAGATTTCACCTTTCCTGAATAAATCACATCCCAACAAAAACCCATAACATAAGAGATTGACAGCCTGACTGACCAGAGTGGGAAGAGAGATTTGAAGACCTCTTAGTGAGAATAACACGAAACTCTCCAGCAGCACCTTCAAAGAGGCAGATCAAGACAGCAGCCCTCTTGGTTGTAGATCGTTGAAACCCCCCAACAACTGAGGTCATAGATTCTTGAAAACCCACCGTAGAGACCGCCTCTGACCTCTCATCCACATAGCTTGGTGGAGCCTTATACAGGCGCAGCTGCTTCGCCAAGGCCATAAGTCCAGACCCGGAGCAGCTCTTGGAAGCAGATGATGGGTGGCAGTCCATGAGGAGCTTCTTTGAGAGTGGGAATGAGATACAAGACGATGCAACCCTTCGTCCAGCACACACCATCATCATCAGGCCATTATCTTCTCAAGGTTAGGATCGGCATCAAGAAGAAATTGGCTCTGTGATAGCCTGCCGTCCTTTACTTTTATTTGCAAGTTGTAGAGAGCTTACCATGTGCGTATTAGTGCCACTCAATTCATTTTGTTGCGTAAATCAGTAGTAATTTTTGTGAGCATCACAACTAATTCATCGTTATTTTTACGTCTGATCTTCTAAATTCCAAAGGGGTTTGTCCCTCAATATTACAAAATTGAAGTCAATTTCTAAAAATGTGACTACTTTTAACTTTTGACAAAAATGTGATTAACAAGGTCATATTTTTGGAAAAAGATTATTTCATTGTAATATTCGTTCTAACTATGTTTTTTTTTATGTCACTAAGAAATGTCACTGTCGGATTTTCGTGTCACTAACTAGGGGTGAGCATGGGGCGGTATGGGAAGATTATTTCAAAAGACATGTCACGTTTCAAAGTACGGTTCTTTTAAAAATAAAAAAAAATTGCCAAATATATATATAGAACATGTCCGTTTTCGTACCAATTTTCGGTACGATTCGGTACAATTATTCGGTACTATTCGATTCCTAAATAATTATCTCCTTCAAAGTCAAAAATATTTTAAGTTTTATCATTAATAAGCAACTATAAAAAATTGAAGAGAAAGGATTGCAAAATTAAAATCAAACATAACTTAAATATAAAACTAACTAATTGTCAAAACTATAATAAAGAAAGGTAACATTCAACTAAAAATCGAAAGTGAGAGCCAAACTCAAAATCCAAAGGTATGTCTTCACATGAGAAATATAATATAATATATAATATAATATTTGAGTAAAGCTCGGTTCTTTATAATGTCGTATAGTTTTATATATAATACAATACTCCCTCCGTTCTATTAAGTTCCTACTTTGACCTACATACATATTTAGGAAATAAATTTGACTTTACTGTTTAGACACTGTTTGGCACTGTTTAGACACTGTTTGGCACTGTTTAGACACTGTTTGGCACTGTTTTGCACTGTTTTGATGTAGGATAACTTTCCATTTAGGGAAATGAGAAGATTATTTTGGGACGACCCAAAAAGGAAAGTAGGAAGTTAATAGCGGGATGGAGGGAGTATATATTAATTTATATAGCCAATTCTCGAGACAATATGGGACAGTTCGGGACAATTCATCAGTACGGTTTTGGGACGTTTGTCACTCAAGAACCGGTACCGTACCGTATTATTGAAAAAGTTTGGTACGGTACAATATTATATTTTTCCGATTTCGTTCGGTTCAGGTACGGTTTGGAGTTCTCGGTACGGAACGGGAAATCCCAGATCCGTGCTCAGCCATGTCACTAACGTATGTCACGCTCCCGTTAATTAGGTCACTGTCCCGTTAATCAAGTGATCCCTGTGTCGCCTGAAAAAGTTTTCGACGACTTTTTTGGCGACATTTTCCACCGACGCCGCCTCGTTCCCTCCCCATCCCCAACTACGTGTTGGCCACCTGCCGCCTCTATCGCACATACTCCGGCCGCCGTCGTTCGGCTCCAATGGTCGCAGTTGTTGACCACTGGCCAGCCCCAAAGAGCACCAGCAAGTCTCAATGACCGCAGCCCGTGACTATCTAGTCCCCAACCCCAGCCCCGTCCCTCGCCCCAATGACCATCTCCCGAGACCCTTCACAATCCCACCTCTCTAGGCCCAGTTGCGGTTGTCGCCGACCTCGTAACCCTAGCGCGGAAGCCACCGACCAACCCCTAGTCAAATCCCTGTACAAATCCCTTTTGATCCCTGTCACATCCCGAGAGATGAAAAATCATCATCCTCTCAACATATAATCCCAAAAAATAAAAATAATGGCTACAAAGAAGATGAAGAAGAACCAGATCTAAATCAATTTGGTGATGGCAATGACGAAAGAAATTGGCGGTGATGAGCTCAATAGGTGTATTGTGCGCAGGAGCTCGATCTGGTGATGGCGATTTGAATTGAAACCAGATCTAAATCATCATGTTGATATGTAGAGTTTCTCTAGAGGAAGAAGGAAAGCAACAGTGATGAGATCCATCTATGAATTCGTGCGGGAGGTTAGGTTTGGGAACGGGTAACATTTTTTTCACAATCAAATTAGTGATATGTTTGTCTATTGAAACTCTAGAAGTAATATTTAGGCCATTGTTTCAGTTCTAAAACTATTCTAGAATGTGTGGTCTCTAGATTTCTCCAATTATTAATTGTATGCATTAATTATAGAATATAGTCGAGAATACGTTCTTACTCGTATAAATAGATACCTTTTACCACCACTTTGTATCAAGCAATCAAGCTAATTTGAATTGTTCAAATAAAAAGAGTTCTTCCCCTATGTTCAAATATCTCTTCCATAATATTTCAAATTTAGCCTCTTAGTATCCCATACCTTCCTTCACTTATTTCCAACAGTGGTATCAAAGTCAGGTTCGGTCATTACCAAAAAATGGTCGGTTCCCTTCAAGTTCCTTCACTAAAAAGGAGAACTATGATAATTGGAGTATTCGTATGAAGATAATACTTGGTTCGGAAGATGTGTGTGACATGATAAAGGAACACTTTGAGGAACCCGAGGACATCAATGCTTTAAATCAAGCTAAAAAATGCCTTTAGGAATATTAAAAAGAGAGATCGAAAGACGGTCTCCATCATCCATCAAGCTTTGGATGAAGCTATGTTCACAAAGGTGGCGTGTGCAACTACAAGCAAAGAAGCTTGGGAGATAATGGAGAATTCTTTTAAAGGAGTAGATAAGGTGAAGAAAGTATGAATCCAAACTCTTCGAAGTGAGTTTCAATCATTTAGAATGAACTCTTTGAAATCCATTGATGACTATCTCTCAAGAATCCAACTTGTCATCGTCACTCAAATAAGAAGAAATTAAAGACAATCGAGTGGTTGAAAAAATCCTACGGTTTTTAGATTCAAAATTTGATTACATAGTTGTGGCAATAGAAGAATCTAAAGATCTAGAAAAAGTGCAGCGAGTTGGGAAATTTTTAAGCAAAATTGTTACAATAGATGATAATCTATTGGAAGGTAGTTGTAACGCTTATATGAGAATCAGAACTTACTTGGATATATAGGCAAACCTTTTAATTAAGAATGGGGCAAAGCTTCAAAAGGGTAATGGGGATCGGATCAGAGTGATTCTGGGTGGATTTTAAATATGAGAAACTACCTAGCTTTTGTTTTGTGTGCAGAATTATTGGTCATGTAGACAAGTATTTCTTGCCCGTTGGAATATGAGCAAAGGAACTTGTCAAACCATTCAGACCATGGCTCAGAGCTGGAGTGAGGAGATTCGACCAATTCGGGGTAACGAGTGGCTCATGCAGATAGGAGATGAGTCTGATCTGCAGGTAAAGAAAGGACAACATGGGAGACAGGGGGAATCAAGGTGCCACTGCGGCATAAAATCTGGGGGCAGGAATACAAAAGGGTAGGTTCCGGATATGGGTACGTGCAGTAGAGGATTCATGAGAAATTATGTCAACACGTAATACTGAGGGTGGTGCGGGAGACTAGAAGAGGAGGAGAAAATTAGAGGAAAAAATATGAGTGGATTAGGTGGGCGAAGGAATGACAATATAATAGATGATCCGAAAAATGGGAAGGAAGTTGAGCTTTACGATCTCTTTCACGATGCACTTCTAGTTGTCTCCTATTCCTTGTAAGATTTTTTATTTCAGTTATATCTACTTTATTGTCTCTTTTGATTCAACGATTTATTTTACTTTTTGGAAGACAATTAACTCTAAATCTGCAATCAAGTTAAGCAATAGGGATCAGAGTGTGACTGTTTGTCTAGATGTAATTTACCTGAATTCTGGTTTCTTAATATAAGTAATTTACAATAAAAACAATTGACAACTAGTACAATAATTTAACTTTTATTTTATTAAACCGATAGAGAAAAGAGAAATGGTGCTAAATAGGAGCTTAAATTTCCCTATGTAATTAAATAAGAGTTTGACTTTTTTTACTCCTAAATAGGACTTAAATATCCGTTCATTCCATATTTACCCCTGAATTCTTATTTTCTAAGACCGTGTCTCACAGCCTCGCTTCCGTCTCTTGACAAACTTCTGCGATTATGAAGAAGATCAGGAGTGTGGTGGCGCAGCCGGATAGAGGTCAACAAAAAACAGAAAACAACAAATCGACGCAGCAGCGTTGGCACGGAGTTCATTCGCTTTGATTTCCGACCCGGATTCAGAATCGGCGATGGCTGTACGACATCAGCGATGGTGGACGGCGCCACGACGTTGGCGTCGGTGGGCGGCGGCACATATCTTTTCTCCTCCTCCTCCTCCTCCTTCCTCTTCTTTTCTTCTTTTTCTTCTCTTCTCCGCTTTTTCTTGTGTCGATCTAGCAGCTTTTCTTCCGCAGGTGTAGTTGCTTTTCTTTTCCCGATCTCAAATCTGATTGCTAGCTCGACGATCGATCCATCCTTTTGATTTTAGGGATCGATCCTTTTGATTATGCCGATGGATTCTTTTGCTAGTTTCTTTTGCGGATCGATTCTTTTGATTAATGGAATATAAGTTGTACGTACTGTATTTAGTAACTTTTTACTTTCATCTTCTTGATTTTTATGATTTTTATATTTCAAATGAGGGTCTACCTTTTTAATGTTGATCTGGAGTCAAATTTATTAGATTTGGATTTTCACTTTTATTTTATTAAATTAAAATAAATTGATATACGGAGTATATAATTCTATAATGATATCACAATGCGACATTATCAATGATATCACAATGCGACATTATACGAAGTACTCCGTATACATTATCACAATATCACATGATGCATTGTTGATAAATGATTAGTATAATTATGGTTATTATGACATTGACATAACTATATTTTAACAGTCAAGGGAAAACAAACATAAAGTATAGAGTGATGAACGTGAATTGGCTTTGTTTTGCAAACATTGTACCTGCTGAAAATAAAAATTATTTTTTATAGATTTGGCATTAGTTTTAACAATGTTATTTTCATAATGATTGACATTCTTATGACATTATCATTGATATTCTTATGACATTATCATTGACATTTTTATAACATTGTCATTGACATTCTTATAACATTATCATTGACATTTTTATAACATTGT